AACAAGCTAATATGACGAAGGTTTCAGATGTATCTTCTTGTGGGGAAATTAGGACATCTTAGTCAGACTTCTTGGACATGTGACCCATCTTAGTGCGAACGTTACGCAGCAGGAAGAAGCAGACAGCTGTGATGCCACAGACGATCTCTGCAACCCAGAAGGCCATTTCCCAGTCGTAGTGTTTGGCAATGGTGCTGAATGGGAGCCCAGAGAGGAAGCCACCAACTGAGGAAGAGATCAAATTTGCTGAATTTCTTACCTTCAGATTATTAAGACAAAATATTCAAGTTCAGTTGTGGGAGTTTACCAATCCAACATGTCCAAAATTGTGCAAAAGCATTTTTGCACCTCTGGATGTTTTATTCTCGCAAATTGTTTTATTCTAGCAAATTCTCCAGATAACCATCTCATGGATGGAAATAAAATTGTTGATATGAAATCGGTTGTTCTCTCGTGCAACATTCCTCTATGAAATTTTGTGAACATGAGTTTGTGTCATCCTGCTGCCTGCATCTTTAATAAGGGCTATGATAGCAAATACCAAACTAGTGCTGACCTAAGACCTTTGCACAGTACTCATTGCAAACAAAAAGGTAATCTACTTACTGTTAGCCATCAGAGCCACGATAGCGTGTGATGTCCCACAGTAGTTGGACGGAGCACTCTCATTGGCTATAACCCCAAACAAGGCCATTGGACCGTAGGAGGAGAAACCGAAAGCAGCACCCAAAAAGAGTATCCACACCTTCAAGTGCACACAATAGACATTAATTCCAATGCATTCTGCTCGTGATCTTACGCAGTCTCTTCATGTTGTGTCATCAATTACCTTCGGGCTGTCCGCAGTGACCGTGACTCGAAACAGGTACATGGATACAAACATTCCTGCCATCATAAGGATCAGGACAAAGTGGCGAGGATTGCCGTAGGTTCTTATGCCTTGCTGTACAGACAAAGGGAAATTGGGTTGAGAAGGTGAGTGGAGTGAAACCTTTGTCCATACTTGAGTGTATAATACGTGCCAAACAAAACGCAAATCACGGGACGGAGGAGAATGAAATTGGTTTGGGCTGTGTGTGGATTGCTCACTTACTTTGGCCACAGCTTTGTCAGAGTAATAACCTGCTGCCACGCTGCCTATGAGACCTCCCAACTCCAGCGCACTCATGTATGAGCTCCCTACGAAGAAGAAAGCGGTGAATCAACACAGACAACACCACATAAACAGTGAAGATGCAGCACTTCCCATCACTACTAAATTGACTCTTCAATGCTAGTTTCCCGATTTAACGAGAATCTCACTCGTCACGTATCGCATACCCATCAGCGTAGACTGTCCCTTGTCCTGAATGAGAAACAGCTGTCCCCAGTCGGTGCAAGCTGTCTTCACCCCAAACACCACCAGATAGGACACGGAAAGCAGCCAGAGGTAAGGTGAGAGCAGGAACTCAGACAGAGTGCTCTCATCACTGGAAGACCCTGAAGGAGATAAACATGGAAGGGAAAATGACATGTCATGAATGCAAGAAAGGTTTCATAATCCACATGGAATCATAAATCCACCACACACCGGAGCTCCCTCCACATGAGGGGCATGTGAGGGGCGTGCATCAGGTTGCTCGACCAAAGACTGCCCAGTTTGTGTGACGCAAGTATGTCTGAGTCAGTAGACTCACCTCCTTTGCTCTTCTTGGCCGCCACTTCAATACTAGGTAGCCCCACATCCTTGGGTTCGTTCTTGATGACCAACAGGCAGACAAAGGATGACGCCACACAGATCAATCCGGACACGGAGAGGATGGTCCTCCAGCCGTAACTCTGGGCCAGCACTGTGGCAATAAGAGGGCCCAAGCTGCCAGCCAGATTCATGCTGCACGCCAGGATCGCCCACCATGTTCCAAATTGAGAGGGCTCAAACCAC